TCTAGATGCAAAATCAAAAATATCTAAAAAATCTGGATATTTGAAATGCTGAAAAAAAAATAGAGTATATGCTGCATTTACATCTCAAAAATCAGAAGATCAAAATATTCTTTAATATGATAGAAATAATGCAACAAAATTTATATTTATTATTTTTTTTGTCAAATTGTAAATTAAAAACAAAAAAAAATCATTTTCCGCCAAATCAGTAAAATTGAGTTTCTCGATAAAACCTCAAAATCGAGTTTTTTCGTCAAAACCGCAAAATCAATTTTTTCCTGCAAAAACTAAAAAATCGAGTTTTCCCGCCAAAACCGGAAAATCGAGTTTTCCCGCCAAAACCAAAAAATCAAGTTTTCCGTCAAAACCGGAAAATCGAGTTTTCTCGCCAAAACCAGAAAATCGAGTTTTTCCGCCAAAACTGGAAAATCGAGTTTTCCGTCAAAACTGTAAAATCAAGTTTTTCCGTCAAAACCAGAAAATCGAGTTTTCCCACCAAAACCGGAAAGTCGGGTTTTCCCGCCAAAACCAGAAAATTAAGATTTCCGTCAAATCCATAAAATAAACTTTTCCATCAAAACCGAAAAATCAAGTTTTCCATCAAAACCGAAAAATCGATTTTTTCCGCCAAAACCGGAAAATAGAGTTTTCCGTCAAAACCGGAAAATTGAGTTCTCTCGGTTTTCCAGAAAATTAAATTTTCCATCAAAACCGTAAAATCGAGTTTTTCCGTCAAAACTGGAAAATCGAGTTCCCCCCCCCCCCCAAACTCATTCAACTCACAATGTGATGTCTGCCAAATGAGAGGGAAGATCAGTAAAAGACATGAGATGCCATAAAACTTCATACTTGAAGTTGAAGTTTTTGACTGTTAGGGCATTGATTTCATGGGACCCTTACCCTCATCTTATGGGAACAAGTACATCCTGGTTGCAGTGGACTATGTCTCCAAGTGGGTGAAAGCAATTGCCAGTCCACACAATGATGATGCAGTGGTCCTGAAGCTGTTCAAAACCATCATTTTTACCAGGTTTGGAGTACCACGGATTGTGATCAGTGATGGTAGAAAGCACTTTATGAATAGAGTGTTTGAGAAGCTGCTGCAGAAGTATGGAGTTCATCACAAGGTTGCTACACCTTATCACCCTCAAATAAGTGGTCAGGTTGAAGTTTTCAACAGGCAGATCAAAGAAATCCTGGAGAAGACAGTTGGAAAGACAAGAAAGGATTGGTCAGCCAAGTTAGATGGTGCATTTTGGGCTTACAGGACAGGATTCAAGACACCACTTGGCGCCACCCCATTCTATTTTCTTTATGGGAAATCCTGTCATCTTCCAGTGGAGCTTGAACACAAGGCAAATTGGTCTGTCAAGAAGATGCACTTTGACTAGATATCTGCAGCAGAGAGTCGCCAGATACAGCTCAATGAGTTAGATGAGATCAGACATCATGCATATGAGAACTCAAAGCTGTATAAGGAGAGGACTAAAGCTTACCATGACAAGAAGATCCTTGCCAGACACTTTGAACCAAATGACCAGGTACTTTTATATAACTCACGTTTACAATTCTTTCCTGGAAAATTGTGTTCTCGTTGGTCAGGTCCTTTCACAGTCAATGAAGTCAGACCATATGGTGCAGTTGTTCTATCAACTCCAGAGGGCAGGGAGTTTGTTGTCAATGGGCAAAGGGTGAAACATTACTGGGCCAAAGACGCGATTCCCGGAGGACAGATTGTACCTTTGGCAGATGCACCCACAGCCTGACCCTGAGGACAGTCAAGCTAATGACGTTAAACGAGCGCTTGGTGGGAGGCAACCCACTGGTAAGTGTACATACTTAGTCTAATTTTTAATTTTTACTGACTTATTTTTGTGTTACAGAGCCATGAAAAAAGAAAAAAAAAAGTCGTGGCGAGTCAATATCGACAACGGTCGACACTGTGCTCGACACGGGCTGGTGTCGATCGACACCATCATTAATCAGGTACGCCGCTTCATGAGTCGCGAGTAGTTTCATTGGGTTTTGGGGTTGAGAGGATTCAAAGGGGTCGAAAAGGTTTTCATGTTTGGTGTTTTCTTGTTCTTCATGGCTTTCTCTTCTAGGATGTCAAGTTCTTAAGGCTTAAAGAGTCTCACGCCAAGATCTTTATGATCAGAGATACCTCTTACCTTGACAGGATCCAGAGATCTCTGAAAATCGCATCCTAGTGACTAGTTTCTCTTTCCCAAACGCCATGGTAGTTTAGAGGACTAGTTAAGCCGCGTGTTTGAAATCTGGTTTCCTTGCCCTTCAATCTCTTCTTCCGCCAAACGCCATGGGTCTGGAGGAGAGAATGAAGGAGTGATCCATGCCGAAAGCCACAGGTGGATCTTGTTTTGTTTTCAAGGCTTAGGGAACCTCACAAAGTGAGTAGATCTAAAGTTTTCAACCCAAGCTTAAACCTTTGAAACCCCTGAACATGAATCTCAACCCTGGACCCTCCTTTTAGCATTTCTTAGTCTCTGTTGATTATTTCGCTTGTTGCTTGCTCGCACCCTGGTCATTAGATTCGCTTTTGCTTGAACTGCTTTTTAGATCGATCGTTATTGCTCGATCTAGTGGTCGATCCACTAGTCGATTTTTTACAAATTCCTAGCTTTGCATTTTTATTGTTTGGTCTGTTCCTAGTAGTAGTTTAACCCTTTCTTGTATTTTTAAAATAGTTTTGCTCTGCATTTTATCATTGCATGTAGTTTTTAGGAATTTTTCAAATTATTCATCAATTGTTTAGCTTTACATGACCCTTGCATTCTCATTGCACTTTCTAACCTCTAGGATTGGATTGATACCTCTTGCATTATGCTACAACTGTATGCTGCTTGAGTTTTGATAACCTCCTGTTGCATTGCTCATCCTAGATCGAAAAGCTGTTATCATTTACTCATATGAACACAAACACACAGAAATTTTTGAAAACAAAAGTCGGAATTTTAATAATTTGATTCATAACATTACGAAACAAATATTGAAAAAATCATTATAAAGTCTAATTTGTTAATAGTTTTAGGCAAAAGTTTTCAATGTTAATTGGATGAATTCAAATATCAATATGATCAACCTATACAAAAGAAAAATAATTTTACAATACACAAATAGTTGCGTAAATAATTTTAAAAGGTTTTATTTTAAAAGCAAAGCTTATCAAAGCTGCAATTGAACTGAGTAGACACATTTTAAAGATCATTACTATATATAATTTATGGAATTTTACTTTTATATCATCACTTTATATCTTTTATATTTCCAATAAAGAATAACAATAAAAACTTCTAAACGCATAAATGTGAAGATTCAAGACTTAACAGCATAAATTGTCCATAACTTCTCATTGTATTGCCATCGTTCACAACGGCTGAGACTCCCTGTAAGGTAACTTAGTTTCATTCTCCAATTTGTTAATACATATGAGATTATTACATTGATGTAATATCAATATTTTGTTTTCATCGTTACCTTCTCTCTCTCTCTCTCTCTCTCTCTCTCTCTCTCTCTCTCTCTCTCTCTCTCTCTCTCTCTCTCTCTCTCTCTCTCTCTCTCTCTGAATTTTCCGATCACGATTCACGGATCGATTTTTTGCCAGCTCTCTCTCTCGACTTGCCGATCACTTTTGATTTCTAACGACCTAAGGATAATTTCATCATTTCAATAGTTAAATAATTGTATTTATAAAAATATCCAGTTTGTTGTAGTACTTTTGAACAGTGATACAGTGAAAGGTATATTTTTAAAATTTTCTCAATAATAAATCAGCATTAAAATGCACAAAACAATATGAAACATTCGTGTGATTATTATCAAACACTAAAATTACATATATATATATATATAATGTATAATGAAATTAATCAATATATCAATATCACATCTAATTATGTTTATAAAAAATTATACATACACATGCATGTGGACCACTCGTAATAAAATAAATTATTACATATTTTAATGTTTTGTAGTTTATTTAGTTATTATATTTACACTTTTTCTCTAAAAGAGTATTTTAAAATTTTGGTTAATTTTTTATCTTTAATTTTTATTAAAATTTATAATATTTTTTATTTGATTTATTATTAAATATTTAGAATATATGGTTGTTTTAAAAAAAACAATTTAAAGTTCAGGTAAACTTAAATTTTTAATAATTTAATCAATTATTATTTATGTATTTATATCAATTCACTGTTTATATAATATATAAGTTGTATTTAAAAAAGTACATATTCTATATATCAAATTATATATTGCAGTAATATAATATAAGGTTTGGATAGTATAAAATTTTATATAAGAAAAAATTATTATTTTTGTGTTTATAACGATTTATTGTATCTAGTGTAGAAGTTTTATTTCAAAAAATAATACACAAACACTTAATTGAACAAATTATAGTATTTTTACGTGTAACACTAATAACTGGATACATAAATATTTTAAACGAATAGTAATGTAGATTAGAGTAGTAGATTATTAATAGAGTGTTTGGTAATAAGTGTATTAATTACATTTAACATTAATAATTCTGTAATTTTAGCGAAAATAAAGTAGATAAATATAGTATTTGGCAATAAGAATAGTCTAATAATTAACTAAATTGAAAATCTCAAAAAAATGAGGTAATGACACATAAGCCTAGAATGCTTTATGTTTAATAATAGTTAGATACAAACAAACAATGTTACATCCAAATGTTATATCCAAATGCAAAACCTAGTTTTAAAAACGAACAATATCTAAATGTTACATCTGAAAATTGTATGTAGATACTGAATCTAGATACAACATCTAGATCAAGAAACGAACAGGGCCATAATCAAAATATATGAGGTGGTTAGGCATAAACGAAAGTTCATTATAAGCGTTTTGGAAAGATCTCATGTGGGTCTCTTGTCAAATTTATTCGATACATGTTTGCATAGGCCAAAGCTGAGTAAGGAATAAAGAGGAATGAAGTTGGGATCTCTTCACTCAACTTGTGAGAAACCTCCACCAGTCTCAGACTTTGTCCTACCAAAGAAACAGATTTCGCAATTGAAGAATGTTCATATCGATTTGGCCCAAACGACAGAAAAAGAGTAATTTGGTTAAGATTCAGGCTTACTTGTGATCTGAAGGATTCGGTCTTATCTCATATACAATTGTCGCAACAACATCTCTTTTCAACTGTTCAAGACCAAAGGGTAAACTTAACCAACTACCATATTACCATATAATAGTAGCATCATTTGTGTATGCAAAGCCGCAAACATACCTGAGTTGCTTCACCTTTAAACCCGATATAATGTATTTGCGTTGTGTCACCTCCAAAACTCTCAGGGAAATGCAATGTCATGTTTCCAACGCTCTGGAATCTCGAATACCTAACCACAGCACAAATCACATCACACGCTTTCACTGTATCAAATATCTCCACTTTTCACCAGTTAAGGTAAAGTCATATATAGTTCAGCAGAAAATAACGTACCATTGATGCATTACATAAATCCGCAGAGTCTAATACAACCTATTATCAGTACCTGGTTTGGTATTCTAAGACTCCTTGCAAATTTTCAGCTAATTCCCATTCCTTTAAAAGAGCTCACATATGTTTCTGCATTAGTGCAGTTGTCTTTTGGCATATCGGTAAGTAAAAACACTCACAAAGGAAGAATACCTGAACGGCTTGCATACTCTCAGCGTCTGAGAAGTCAATACCTTCGCGATTGATGAACCTGGTTTAAAGACAACAATCATCTTTCTGTCTTTATGTATATTCCCAAATGAAGAAACAGTATGCAGAACTTAACACATGCATACAGGAAATGTTATTGTAGAGTAGTTTAGACATACACTCTCAACTTAGAAGGACTTCTTCCATCAGGGCCACCTACAATTGATATGCTCTTGATTTTGACGTCTGATGTGAATCTATGATAATCATGACAAAATAGACATAAATGAGCTGCACATCAAAAAGTTCTTATAACATTGTCTGTATCTAGTTCTCCCAAACTTCTTAATGCAAAACAATGATAATTTGAAGTCACTGGTCGGTAATCGAATGAACAAACGGTGCGCTAAGCCAGAAATAGATGCCAGTTTGAAGAGGAAGAAATAATCTTCTATGACATACGGTACAAAGACAAGTAATTCCGGGTCTCCCTCATTGCTCTCCAAATGCTCCTGTAAGCATACACAAGATACCATTTCCTTTTAGACATTATCGTGGAGACAGATTTGCATATAAACATAATATATAAGTAAGAGTACATATAGTTAAGGGTCTTTCATCAGCCGAGCATGGTATTGATAACATTCATGCACACATGTGTTTGGGTTCATTACCACTCTTTTAAGGTTATTCCATATGTTAAGGGTCCTTCATTAGCCAAGCATGGTATTGATAACATTCATGCACACATGAGTTTGTGTTCATTACCACAATCTTTCTAAGGTTATCCCATATGTTTTCTCCATGAACCAACAAGAGGTCACAAGATCAATAAAGATCCAAAACATAAGTTATTGTGAAAATCGAAATTACCCCAGAAGAGTGTAATCGCTGTTCCCATGCTTTGAAGACTGATTTTACACTTCCGGAAACAGACTCGTTCAGAGCAGACACCTGAGACCAAATTTATACAAGTACTAAAAAAACTTCTCTTGCTAAGCATACAAAATATATCATTTCTCAAGGAACGTTTTCAAAAACATAGAAACAGCTTGAAAAAAACCATTAGTTTTCAATTTGCAATTTGTATGTGAAAAACCCAAAATCTGTATACAGAAACCCTAAATAGAGAAATAAAAGGACTGGATCATCATATCACTGAAGAAATCTCTATCAAATCTTACTCGCAAACTGTTACTCATAAACCCAATCGCAAATAGTTTTCGAAATCCATCACGCAAGCCCGGCGGGTTGAAAAATCGGAATATCTTCGACATTTACGCAGCAACAATTGGAATCTAAACTGTTTGGATTCATTAATCGAGTGATCCAAGAAAGATTGTGTGTGAGAGAGAGAGACCTTGGAGAGATCAATGTGCTTGTAGAGTGACCAATCGGAGGAACACTCATGATCCTCACAGTTGTGATCATGCGTACACGACATTTAGCAATCGGGAAAAAAACAAAATTATCGTCGGCGAAACACTAATCAGAAACTCTGGCGAAGAAATATCGAGAAGCTTGAGAAGAGCGCCGTGAGAAGGGACTTTAATCTGAAATACCCCCGTACGCCAACAAAAATCTAACTGTCCATCTCTGATCTCACTGCCCCTCTTTACAATGAAATGACGGTTTATTCTTTAATAATTTTAAAAAAAAATTAAAAAAAAAGAATAAGAATTAAAGAATTTTGGGTGATTTGATAGAAAATTTAATTGAAACCAACCTAAAATTAATTGTCTAAACTAACCAAACCAACCACCTGCACCTTTCGTCTTTCCCTCGTCGTCTTCTTCTTCTCATGTTTCCACCATTGACAAAATCAGAGACCTGAAATTGAAGGTTAGTTGTTGCTGTTTTTTATACTATTTTCGATTTCTTGATTGAATTATCAAGTTTATATCATAGGCAGAGCAATTAATACATAGTTTCTTCTCAATTAGAGAATTTCATAGTAAAAAAAATTTTGATTTTTTTTTTTGCTCATTGGAGCTGCTGAGCTAGTTGGGTAAGGCTATTAGAAACTAATATTGTTAATTAAATATGATATCTTGGTTAACTGAGCAATAAATCGTAAAAACTAGTGATGATTCGTATGATGAACCAAACTTTCTGGGTACTACTGGGTACAACTAGAAATACTTGACATATTAGTACGAGTAGGATCAACCAAACTTTTTGGGTACAACTAGCATAACTGGACATATTAAGTGAATTTAATACGACTAGGATTAACCAAACTTTCTAGGTACTACTGGGTACAACTAGCACAACTGGACATATTAAGTGAATTAGTACGACTAGGATGAACCAAACTTTATGGGTACTACTAGTACAACTAGCGTAACTGGATATCTTAAGTACGACTAGTAAAACTGGTACAATTATGATAAGATTACCTTACGATTGTTCTGTTCTTTTCAGGGGAAATGAGTAGTAGTGATTGCACAGTCATATGTTTTGATTATGGGGGGTTCTATTCAAAAGATGGTGATAAAGTTATTTGGAATTCTGTAGAAGATAAGATTCATACTTTAGTGATGAGGAAATCTTTGGAGGATGTCACTTATCTTGGATTAGTGGAGGGAATTTGCAGAAAGGTTTTGATAGATGCAGCTACATCTCAGCTGAAAATTAGTTACTATCCAATGGTCTTGAACACGAAGAAACCATCATATATTTGGAATGACGAAAATGTTTTTGATTATCTACTACAAATGAGTAAGTATCAATGTAGAAGTGTTCTACATGTGGAGTTCATCAAGGATGTTGATCAAAGTCATGGAAGCGTGCATGTTTCAAGAGAGGATCATGGAGTTGACGTTGATGTAGGTCCAAGTAATGATGAGATGTTTTCTACCGTTAGAGATGGTTTAGAAATACCGGACAGTGAAATGCAAGACAATGAAATGCCAGACAATGAGATGCAAGAAAATGATACAGATCCTCTACAAAGATATGAGCTCGTGTATGATGATGATACAGAAGTCAGACATTCTGATGGAAACTCGCAAGTAAGTCATGGGTGGGAAGATGGTTTAGATATATATAAAGGTCAAGAATTTGACACTAGGCAGGGACTGCAAGCTCTCCTGCAAAAAGGTGCACATGAGAATGGTTTTGAGTATGAAACAAAAAAGTCTGATCCCACACGTTTCGTGGTAAAATGTTGGGGAGCAAAAGAGGGATGCAAGTGGGGTTTAAGAGCTTCTGTGCGTATGAACTCAAATAGTTTCACTATTGTCACTTACAACAAGGTGCACACATGCTCTCGGGTTACTACAAGTACAATCAGACAAAAAAGGAAAGGCACACCACACTTAGTTGCAACTGTTTTGGCTGAAGACTATCCAGGTCGATTCGACACACCAGATCCAAAAACGCTGATCAATATGGTTCAAGGCAGGCTTGGCGTGAAAGTATCATACTCGACAGCGCTGAGAGGAAAAAACAAAGCTGCTAATGAGGTGCGGGGAAGTTCTGAGGAGAGTTATCGGTGGCTATATTCTTATTTGTACATGCTAGAGAAAGTAAATCCGGGTACACGGACTTGTGTGGAATTAGATGAGCAGAAAAGGTTTAAATACCTATTCTTTGCATTGGGAGCTTGCATAGAAGAGTTTCTATCGATGAGGAAAGTCATCATTATAGATGGAACCCACCTGAAGAACGTATATGGTGGAGTTCTAATCGTCGCTTCAGCTCAGGATCCTGATTATCATCATTATCTCATTGCCTTTGGTGTAGTTGATGGTGAGAAAGATGCAAATTGGACGTGGTTTCTGAATCAGTTGAAGTCAGTAACACCAGATGTCCCTGGAATGGTGTTTATTTCGGATAGGAATCCAAGCTTGATCAAGTCAATAAGGGAAGTGTTCCCTCTGTCTCAACACGGGTATTGTGTAGGGCATTTGTCACAGAATGTGAAAGGACACGTTGCCACCCACAGAGATGCATGTGCAAAGAAGTTCATCGAGTGCGCTAAAGCTTATACAGAGGTTGAGTTCGGAAAACTCTATAGTGCTTCTAGGATGAAATATCCATCTGCTGCCGAGTATCTAGACAAAAGTGTTGATGAGAAAAAATGGGCAAAATGCTATTTTCCAGGAGAAAGGTACAACATAGATACCACCAATAGTGTAGAATCTATCAATGGTGTTTTCGTAAATGCAAGAAAGTACTCGCTGTTGCCAATGATTGATGTAATTGTTGCCAAATTGGCTGAATGGTGGAACACCCATAGGCAGAGTGCCGCTGAAGTCCCACTGTCACAGAAGCTTTTGCTTTCCGTGGAGAACGAAATGGATCTGAGATGTGTGGATGCAAAAAAACTCATGGTGCAAGAGTTAAACAGTTATCTCCATGAATACAATGTGATTGGGCTTGATGGAAAGAATTATTTGGTTGATATGACTAGGAAAACTTGTTCTTGCAAGTATTTTGATATAGATAGATACTCATGTGTGCATGCAATTGCTGCTGCCATCCATATGAGCAGAGATAGGAAACTTCATCTACAAGAGTTTTGCTCCAAATATTATTTGGTAGAGCTATGGGCATTGGCATACTCCAGGACAATCTATCCAGTTCCTCATATGTCTGAATGGGTTGTACCTGAAGAGATACAAGCACAAGAAGTCTTACCTCCTGAATATGAAGTAAAGAAAGGAAAACCGCAACAGAAAAGATTCCCATCAGCTGGGGAACATCGTGGAAGAGGAAGAGGAAGAAGAGGAAGAGGAAGAGGGAGAAGTGGACGCTGGGCTCAATGGTTTGGGATTGATGGAAGTGAAGAGTAATTTATGTCTTTGTTTTAAATTATTTGAACTATGTGTGCAACTTTGTATGATCGAGACTTGTATCCATGTTATTTCTATCAGGTATGACTAGGCACCACTAGTACAACTCTATATTCCGTGTCTAATATGTCTGGTACGACTGGTGCGACTAATACCACTCGTTTCAAGTACAACTAGTTCAACTACATTTTAGTTGTACTAAAGTCCAACTGGGAAGACTGGTACGACTATGCTTTCTACAAAAATGTCAATAACACAATTTGTAAATGTATTTATAAACATTTTTCCATATAAAATAGGCCATAGAACATTTGCAAACATATTTGAACATTTCATAGTTAAATAAATTTGATCCACAAAAATGTTTGATCCATGAAAATGTGTTCTCTACACAATCTACCTTATACTTTTAAGGTTACTTTGTAAATCTTAACCACACAAACATGAAAACCATGAAAGTTTGTATTTTTATACTAGTTATAGCATTAGAATATTAGTTTATTTACAAAATTTTACAAGTACAGCTAAAAAATTTTAATTTAGGTATGATACTACTGATTACAAAATTTTACAACTTTATGTCTTTAGGGTACAACTCAAAACTGGGTACAACTATGTTATAAAAAAACTGGGTTCAAATTTTTTTTTGACGGTGCAAACTTGTAAAGATATTCATTTCCTCTTTTGACGGCGTACGTGACTTCATATTTTATCTATTTTTAACTTCATTTTAAACATTTTTTTTTTGCATGCACACATTTTTTTTGCTGCCACACGTTTTTAAAATTGAGATCTAGTTGGTCTAGTTCTGCTAGTCGTACCTTTTAATTCAACACATAAAAAAAGACTTACATAAAATATATATGTCCAAATCCTGAAAAACACAAAGACAAATTCTAATATAGCAGATAATGACACAATATAAGTTCAAAGCCTTAAGTTACTTAATAACAATCCTTCACCAAACGTGAACGAGTAACCTTCCTTTTTCGCTTGGGAGTCTTACTCCTCTTAATTAATTTCTTTGCTGCTTGGGCTTGAAGACTAGGTCGTTTCTTGATTTTCACCTTCCTAGGAGTTTGGACTGTATCGGCATCGTCTCCACCTAACAAAAACAAACAAAAATCGATGAAACTCATTATATCAAAAATAAATCTCCAATAGTTTGGCTCATTAAGGAAGATAAATCTCCACTTACCAGCTAGAGCCTTTTCCATAGCCTTATCCATATCCGCTAACACTATCTCCGCAGCTGCACTAGCCTCAGCCGCCACAGTCTCCACGGTCTTCGCAGCCTCCATCATCTCCGAAGCTGCCGCAGCCTCAACCTCAGCCTTCTCCGCAGCCTCAACCTTCTCCCTCTCTACAGCCGCCGCAGCCTCCGCTTCAGCCTTCTCCGCAGCCTCCTTCTCCACCTTCTCCTTCTCTTCAGCTGCGGCTCTCTCCGCCTTCTCTCTCTCTACAGCCGCAGCAGCCTCCGCCTCAGCCTCCTTCTCCGCAGCCTCCTTCTCTGCAGCCTCCTTCTCCGCCTTCTCCTTCTCCTTCTCTTCAGCCGCGGCTCTCTCCGCCATCTCCCTCTCTACAGCCGCAGCAGCCTCCGCCTCAGCCTCCTTTAACGCAGCTTCCTTCTCTGCAGCCTCCTTCT